GAATCCGGCTCTGCGCCCGGACTGGTTATCAACCACTGATAGTCCAGTCAGTGTCTGCGGCCAGACCAGCACCACGCTGGATCCGTAGCCTGACAGTAATGAGTTGTGTCCAAAAGTTACTGTGTCCGCACGCTGATCATGAGTTAAGAGGAACATGAGCCATCCCGTACTCCTCCTTCGGTATCTGACTGACTGATCATGATCAGGCAGGGTCCGGACCCCCGTTGCTTAATTATTTCCTTTAGCCATTAATGTCATAGCGCTAGCGCTCTGGGCACACAGTCCAACATTATGCGTGGACCGCATTAAATCCTGGACCTGATTTCATAATCATATTATCCCTCTCTCGTGACGAGATTCATGGAACCCGCGGAACTGGCGCCGACCCCTCGCCTCAGATTCTAGTAGTAGTAAACTGAGGAGGAGGCTCTCGTCCTCGACCTCGAAGCCGTACGGACAATTATATTAATGAAGGGGGGTTCGGGCTGGCGGTGTTTCAAGTTCAAGTCAAGCTGGTCTTAGCGCTCCGACGCAGGCTCCTACGCGCTACGCCGAAGTGGAAGGACACTTATGACTATGTAATTTATACGCTATCTAGCTCTAGTGTGACTTGCTCCGCGATACGTCGCTACGCCGAAGTGGAAGGACACTTATGACTATGTAATTTATACGCTATCTAGCTCTAGTGTGACTTGCTCCGCGATACGTCGCAGTACTCTAGTCAGGCCATTCCTGACTGTCTGAATGCCAAGATAACGATTTCCCAATGGGTTCGCTGGCTTGACCGCGGAATGACCCTGCGGCGGCGGGGCGAGATCGGCGGAGGTTTGGGCGGGCGAATTCGTTGGGCAGCTTTGATCCCGGCGTGGGCTCGGCGAAAGCGGGGTCAGCGCGGGTGTTTCTCGGCCCGGGCTATGTGGTGGGTCCAGGTGGCCGCGGTGTTGGCGGCGAGCTTGGCAAATGTGGGCTCAGCGACGGGGCTAGGCGGGGTGGGCTCGGCGGCAGGGATCGGCGACGGCGCGGGCTCTATTTATTAAGCCATTTTGCGAGCGTGGTGATCCTACTTAGAGGATCACAATCAGCCTGCGGTCATGCGCCTGAGCTGGCGAGGCGGAGACACCGCCTAAGGCAGTAGAGATGCTCCAAACAAAAGTCGGCGAGAAGTCGAGGGTTTGGCTAGAGGTTCGAAGGCGAGGGGGCGCTGGGGGCGGGCTCGGCAGCGGGCTCAGTTGGTTGGAGGCTCTGCGGAGCTTTCCCTGCGGGCTGTTCGCGCTTCCAGTCGCGCCCTGGACTCAAAGCAAGATCGGCGGCGGGAAGTTGGAGGCGTTAAGCGTGGGCGAAGGCGCAAAAAAGGTGCACGGGCGTGGTTATGCACATCACGCGCGCTCACTGAATATCTCTATTTGATGGACCTGCCGGAGCTTGGGCGGATCTGCCGTTCGATCGAGCGATGAGGTCACGCATCAGTCCGTGATTTGGCGAGGCCCACGGGTGCTTCTCGCGCAGCAGGATCCACGCGCCCGAGAGCGTGTACCCGCCGTCGCGCACGAGGTAGCCAAGGACGATTGCAGCCGAGCGGCTGATACCTTTGCAGCAGTGGACGAGAACGGCCGGCGCCCGCCCGGGGAGCGCGCACTGTGCGCTACCCCTGTGTTGGCCTATGAACTCCAAGACAGCGGCAAAGCGCGCCTCGGTCAGGCGGCAGCGCTTTGCATCCACGAGCGGCACCTTCAGGTATGCCCGACCGGGCAGGCGCTGGACCCCGTCCTCAACGGCCGTGTTCACTACCGCGCTCACCCCGCTATCTTATGTAGTAACTGAGGTGCTCTGTTCCATGGCGCTCGCGATGAGAGGCGTGCTATCTTATGTGGTCAGGCGGTCACTGTGCGCTGCAGGATGTTCGCTGCGGGCCGTGCCACGGGCACCGTGCGCGCTCGATCATGCTGTGAAGCTACGAGCTTTGAGTTGCCTCTTCAGTCGAGGACGTGCTCGAAGAGGCCCATCAGCGCAGCGCAATTGTCCTGGTCGAAGACTGCGCCTGCACCGTGAAAGTACACGCTGAAGAGCATGTCCGTGCCGTTCACCACGGGGCCGTGGCGCTTGGCGCGTGCCACGAGCTGCGTGCCGGCGTCGAGGAAGAGGCGGTGCAGCCGTGCGTCCTCGTCGTCGATGGCATTGTCGGCGTCCTGGTAGTGGTACATGTTGCACGAGTGCAGCTGCGCTGGCGCGCCGTCCAGCAGTCGGCCCGAAGCCTTGGCGCGCGCGTACTTCTTGGACTTTTGGTCGTACGGGGACGAGAGGAGGAACTCGGTGTCGGCGTCGGTGATCACGGTGAGCACAGCCTGGCGCACGCAAGGCCTTCGACTGCAGGTCGTTTAGGTGGATCGTCTTCACGCCTTTATCCCCGCGCTTGCCCCTGCCGACGTTGATGTCGAAGAGGCCGTTGGCGAGCGCGATCAGGTTGTTGTCGTCCTCCTCGAAGGACTCGTCGTTGTCGCTGCGCGTAGGGCGCAGGGTGTCGAGCAAGTCGCGACGCAGCGAGGGGCCCCGTTCCTGCAGCGCCGCGTAGACCGCCTCGCAGCTGCCCTCGCCGAGGTCACCCCGAGTGCGTCGAGGAGCGAGGCGTTCAGCGCCGGCCGCAGCGAGGAGATGAACAGCCCGGGCAGCACTTCGATCGACCGGTCGGTCACGGGCGCGCGCGCGGCCATGGGCGGTCGGTCACGGGCGCGCGCGCGGCCATGAGCGCCGAGAGCATCGCCACCGCCGCCCAAGCCATCCCAGTCGCGCGGTTGCCCTATGCAGCTTCCTATACGCGGCCGCCATCGCGCACGGTAGTTTCGGTTAGTTACAGTGTCCCAAAGGGCCGGGTGCGGTGCGGGTGCTTAATCCGATTGTGAAAGACCGTCGGGCCGTCGGGCTCCCCAAGCGCCCGAGCGCGTGAAGTGGTGAGCTCCTTGATGCCAGGGTACTCGCGAGGAAGAGCAGCCCCCGAACAAAATATGTCGCCGTCTGCCAAGCAAATGCCCCCCAACTCGCGCTGAACGCAACTGGGGGACTTGGACACGTGAGAGCAAAGAGCGCGCTAAGGCGACTTGAACTCGCGACTCGAGTTTGTAATTTCCGTTGACTAGAGAACGATCTCTACAAAAACCCTATTTCGAGCATAATTTATGCTCTTGCGCCTGTAGCTCAGCTGGTTAGAGCATCAATCTTATGAGTTGAAGGTCCGCGGTTCGAGCCCGCGCAGGCGCACGCATACTTTTTTCATTTTCTTTTACTTTTCGCCTGGCCGGAAACATCATGGCCAGTTAAGCTGCCCGGAGCCCTGATCTGACTTGTCTCTCCTCTCCATGACACAAAAGTGATAACTAACGCATGAGCTGAGGCAGCACAATTATTAACTCACGTGGTGTATTATTTGGACTCTGGCACGCGCGTCGCGGTCTGGTAGCTGCACTGCCCGTGCCCAGAGAGGCCGGCTGCGCGACACGCTGGCTACGTCTGCTCGCTCGCTCTAGAACTGAAACTCTCTCCCCGCGACATTCTTCCCAAGCACCGATTTAAAATCCTCGTTCGGCCGAAGCTTCCACCCGACGGCCCCGCCCGCCAGCTGTGCACGCCCGGTTCGCCTCTCGCTGCACGCCCTGTGAGCGACTAGCTGCAGACACCCCTCGCACCTCCCGCACACCTCCGCCATGCTCGTCGGGCCTCTACTCGTTGGCATGGCCGTCGGCATGTCGTCGGGCCAGGCGAGCCTCTACTCGAAGCTCAAGGGCACGCAGGTCTTCCGCGCGACCGATCTGGAGCGCGTCGACGTCACGGCCGCGTGGAACGCCGACGCGGGCGAGCGCGCCGTCGCGGTCTTCTTCCGCAGCTTCGGCTGACCCTTCTGCCAGGAGCTCGGCATCCAGATGCGCGACATCAAGCCGTTGCTCGACGAGGCAGGGGTGAGTGTGTAAATATCTAGATTAACGTCCGTCACCTGACTGGTCTCCACCGGACCCAAGTGTTGAGAAACACTCGGATCAAGGGACCTTAGCAGATAACACGGATACCGTCCCCACCGCTGAATATCCCTAAGTGAAGGTAAAGCTCATCGCCGTCGGGATTGGAACCCCGGAGCGCGGGCAGGAGTTCTGCGAGCACATCGGCTTCCCCCGCGAGAACCTCTACTCTGACCCGACTTCGGCGTGCTACACCGCGATCGGGCTGTACAAGGGAGTAGGGGTCACGTTTTTCAGCCCTTCGACGCCCTTTGCGATCCTCGATCGTTTGAAGAAGGACGGCGGCAAGGACCTCTTCGACGTGCTTCAGAACTGGAAACCTTGGTTGCCGCCCGAGCAGGATCAGGCGTTTCAGCAGGGCGGAACCTTTGTCTTCGCAGGGCCGCAAGTCGTCTTCCAACACTACGACAAGTCGACGGGCGACCACGCGGACCTGCGGCTCGTCCTCGATTCGGCGATTCCGAAGCGGGTCTAGGCGGTGCCGTAGAGCTTTTTGCGGCGAGGCATGACCCCGAGACTCGCACGACGCAGCAGACTATGACTCTGCAGCCGGACACGTGTGCGCCTTTGCACTCGCGGCTGCAGACGATGCAAACCTGCTGCTTGAGCGAGCGACGACTTCTAGTCGTACTCATAGTCACCAGCACTTTCGCAAATGTCCGGACACCGGTTAGATTTAGTCCGGTTCCATTCAGCGCACGGCTGTTTAGACTTTAGAAATAATTAAAATGGTCGTACCATTGTATGAGTCATCATATTAAAGTGAATTTCAAATTTATCTCATAATCTCTGTTCAACTTCAAGAATCTTAATATTTGCGTTATATTAAATTATGAACAATATAATCTTGAGGCTCCAGCTCCGGTCATGGCCAGCCAGTACTTGTGGATTCTGGCTTTTTAGGAGTCTTACGAGCCGGAGGCGCCCGGCTGGCAGCCCCCCTCGCCGGGTCGCGAAGAATTTTTGTAGGGTCTTGAAGTACTGGCTGGCCATGACCGCGGTAACCCACGCGGAGGATAGCCTTAGTGGAGGGTAGGCGGCTAGGCGTTTGCTCGCCAACGCGCGCATTTCCCACCCGAGAGCTCGTGCGCGGCCAGCGACGCGTACGCCATGGGTCCCGCGTTCGTTAGAAGTATCCCGGCTGGGGTCCTTGAGCGTCGAGGGTGGACCGCTCGCGGACACTTACGCTCAATCACACGGCGACCTGCGTGAGCACACGCGCTCGCCGCGCGTAAGGCGGGCCGGGCGGCCAAGCAGCAAGCTGCGGTCTGCACGCAGCAATAGCATGGAGCACGGCTCTTCGTGCCTCGTCGGCCGCGCACGAGCGCGTGGGCAAGGTGTGCGGATGCGTAAAACGGACGCGGGGCGCACGCATGTTCTCCATCGGACAGCTGATGGTAGCCGCGCGCCTCACCGCATCTAGGTCTCGCCACGCACGAGCGTGCTTCAGCTTGACCGCCCGCTATATATATTTATAATAGGGATTCAAGCTGGCGTCTGACTGTTCTGAATGTTGTGCTGGTTTGAGCGCTGCGTCGCCCAACAGCAACCAGCAGATCATCTCCCTAAACGCCCTTGCCCGGGCACACTACCGGAGATCCATCGGCACGCGCGGTGGCGCCCAAGCCAGCGCAGCCG